GACTCAGTTGGGACTCAGTTGAGAGACTCAGTTGAGACTCAGTTGGGACTCAGTTGGGACTCAGTTGGGACTCAGTTGGGACTCAGTTGGGACTCCGTTGAGAGACTCATTTGGGACTCAGTTGAGAGACTCAGTTGGGACTCAGTTGAGAGACTCATTTGGGACTCAGTTGAGAGGCTCAGTTGGGACTCAGTTGAGACTCAGTTGGGACTTAGTTGGGACTCAGTTGGGACTCAGTTGAGAGACTCAGTTGGGACTCAGTTGAGTCTCAGTTGGCCTCTGAGAGTCAATCAGCAACGCCTCTGCGAGTAATTTGAGTCTTAGTCAGCCTTTGAGAGAGACGGCTCTGAAGAGTCTCAAGTTCTCAACCCTTGGACTCAGTTTGAGCCTCAGTTGGTGTCTGGTTGCACAGCTACCAGTACTTGAAGACTTAGCTGAGTCTCTGGTTGCCCTCCGGCACAACTGCGGATACCCCTTAGACACTCGCTTATCAATACGTCCGAGGCTCACTGACGCATGGGCCGTAGTGTGAACTGTCGGCAATGTGAAGTCCAAGGAAAATCAACATGGTAGAGAGACAGAGTGGGAAGACTGAAAAAAGTCGGACACGGACCGACCTGATCATGAAGCAAACTGCCAATATGACACAGATTTGAGCTCCCACTCAGCAGGGAGGGGTCCATACATGGAAGAAACTTCTCTACGCATCATGCACTGACGAAGTGAAGTGGGAGGAGGGTGAGGAGGAAAGATGACGACGATGATGACGACGGCGGCGACGACGCCGCCGCTGCCGCCGCCGCCGACGACGACGACGAAGAAGAAGAAGAAGAAGAGTATGGCCGCACCAAGTAGTGATCTTCCCTACGCCTCCATCTCGTCTTCCAACTGGCCTCCACACCAGCGTGTCCCCGATCTTGACTCGAGGAGCTCGGCTCTCAACATAACAATGTGCAGTCTCTCTCTCCATCAGATGAGAAGTAAGGAGAAGGAGCTGGAGGAGGAGAAGAAGCAAAACAGAATGCCGACCAGCGAAAAAAGCCACAGCCGTGGCCAGTGGCAAACCTCCAAGTTATGGCCCAGGTGAGTGGAAGTTTCCACTACACCTCTCCTCCTCCTACCTCTAATCTGACCCAGGTGAGTGGACCTCTCCACTGGCCACTGCTCTGCGCTACTGTACGGCTAGGCTGCTTCACGCGTCAATCCAGCAGCCGGGTAGCCACACTTCTGGCTCAGCAGTAGTAGCATCGGGGGCTCAAGCTCGCATCAGCACTTATGCACGGCTGCAGTGGAGGCCCAGCCAGTAGTAACCGATCGCTGGCATGAGCACTTATGGACGGCTGCAGTGGAGGCCCTGCCACGAACAGATCGCACCGGATACTGACAGGTGCGGCAAAATCCCACGTACAAGGAGTCTTGGTTTCTGGCCATCGGTCTTTATGATTGAAGTTCATAAATGAAGAATCTGGGTGTAAGGGGGGGCCTCACCCCTCGTTCTCTCCACTGCGAATGATTTGCCGTTCCTTTTTTTGTTTTTTTTCCTTCGTCTTCGGAATGAATGAAACCAGAGCTCCACCTGTGATCATTGGCAGTGGAGAGAACGAGGGGTGAGCCCCCCCCTTATACCCAGATTCTTCATTTACGACCTTTCCATATCAACAAAAGCAGTGGAAAGAAAGATTTCCCTTGCTAACGATGGAGAGGAAGAGGAAGGGGAAAAAAAAGAGAGCGGTAGACTGTTTAGACGTCTAGGGGAATTACTGTCTCATCACAAAGACACATGCTCTACATATAATGAAGCATGCTATTTGTTAAAAAGAAAAAAAGAAAAAAAGAGGGGTATACTGTTTAGAGTCTTTAGACGTCTAGGGGAATTGCTGTCTCATCACCAAGAAACAAAGAAACAAAGAAAACAAGCAGAAGAATGAAAAATCAGTCTTCAACTGCATGCTGGTAGCAGTTTACGACCATGTTCTGGGTATCCCCAAAAGGTTTCCTGTTTGGTTTTTGTTGTTTTAAGAGCAGAAAGAAGCTCTTACGATCGCCTCACTGCTGAGTCTTCAATGGAGATTTTTTATTTTTATTTTTTTTATTTTATTTTATTTTATTTTAAAGAAGCCACACACACACAATTGTGCCCCATCTATTCTGAGGTGGGTCAGTCCGGTTGCTTATCACCAGCAATCAAACTGCATTTTTATCACTTGTTATCACTTGTTTATTAATTTATTCTTATTATTAATGTTCAGGGCCTTCAGGCAAATTTTTCATTTCTTTGTTTGGTATGCCTTCGTTCTTTTTTTTCTTTTCAATCTTTGCTTGCCAGGTATAATACACTCAAGTTGATTCGGGCCGAAATCACAGCTATGGAGTTTGGGCTTCTGGAGTTCGCAACCGCGTGAGTGTTCTTCTTCTTCTTCTTCTTCCTTCTTCTTCCTTCTTCTTCTTCTTCTTCTTCTTCTTCTTCTTCTTCCTTCTTCTTCTTCTTCTTCTTCTTCTTCTTCTGCTTCTTTTTCTTTCTCTGCTTCAGCCTCGGCTTCTGCTTCTGCTTCTGCTTCTGCTTCGGCTTCTGCCCTCGTCCTCCTCGTCGTCCTCTACCACCAAGAAAAAACTAGAAACAGCATCTCCTTTTTTTTCCTCTTTTTCTTTTGGCAGAATCTCTCTTTCAGTGTCAGGTGAGATGAGATTAGGTTGTGTATTATGGTGAGATTAGGTGAGATTGGCAGAACTGCACAGACAGAGCGAGAGAGATTCTGGAATCGCTTCCAGTCATTTGTCGTCTAGTCCACTTATGATTGGGTGTGGGTGTGTTTTCTCACCTGTTTTCTCACCTCTCTTTCTGTGGCAGGTGAGATTAGGTTACATCAACTTACATGTGATTATCTCTCTTGCTCTTGTTGTGCTGTTTGCTTGTCAGTTTGTCTTGCGCTCTGTCTGTGCAGTTGCGGTGCGGCATATTTCTCAAATTTTCATCTAACAAAAAAAAGCACAAAAAAAGGAAGAAAGGGGAATAAAGAATCTGAGATAGATGATAGGTGAATAAAGAATCTGTGCAGCTCAACGATATGCACATGTTCCCGTCTATGTTATGAACAGATCATCAGATGCTGTTGGGTGTAGTATGGCTAGGGGCAGCCTCCCATTCATTAAAAAAAAAAAAAAAGAGAAACGCAATTCAATCATCGATAGAATAGTAGTGTACCAAACGTTTAGCTCTCACCTCATAGCCATGGCAGAGAAACCTAAATTTTGGTAGTCTACTATTTGGTCGATGAAAAAAGAAAAAGAAACAAAACCCTATTCTATCGATGATTCAAAAAAAAAAAAAAAACGATGAATCAAATCCCGATAGAATAATATTCTACTAGGGCAATTCCTGAATTACGCGGGGCCAGCGAGTTTCACGATGACACCCTTAAAAAAATAACCAAAAACTACTATCCTATTGATGATTCAATCGAAAAGAAAAAGACATGATGATTCAGGTCCGATGGAATACTATTCTACTATTCTATCAATGATTCAAATTCATTCAAACGACAGAATACTATTCTATAATTTCTATTCGATAAAGATATTTGTCGGTACACACCTGGTGGTCAACATAACAATTATCGCTGTATATAGACTGAATGTTGCCCTACATATAGCTATCATGACTGCGCGTTCTATTCAGGTGACGACGGTAGGTAGCAGGCACACAATCAGTGGGTATGCCACTGATTGTGTACCTACTACCTACCGTCATCACCTGAATAGAATGCGCAGTCATGATAGCTGTATCTAGGGCAACATTCAGTCTATATACGGTGATAATTGACCGGACGATCTATTCTGTTGAACACAGTAGCTGATAGAGTATGCAGCTTGTCGTATAGACAATCACAATGTGCATCCCATTATCTTCGAAAAATTCTCCCCCCATAGCAAAACCTACACAAGGAAACAAGAAACCTGGCCTTTTGCTCAGGCTAAAGGAATAGGGAAGTCAATATCTATACCCGTTTCTTGTCCTTCAAACAGAGCTGCCCGGGAAACCGTAGGCAGAGAGGGAGGGGAGGGAGAAGAGGACAACTGTGACAAACTGTTTCGTCGAGTTTCACCGACTGATGTATAGGGAAAAAGTTGTGCAGACTCTGCAGAGGCAGCAGTGTATTGATAAGGACAAAAATAAAATAAAATTAATTGTTGCCGTCAACACTTATGGTGCTGCAGGTACATAGACATGGGATTACACAGGCACCCGAAGCATGCGATGGAATTCTTTGAGTGGGCACCAGGTATATTCAATTTACACCCCCCCCCCCTCCTCCTCCTCCCCCCCCCAAGACCATTTTTGACTAAAACGCGGCCTGTGGATGTACTGTATTCTTCTCTCATTTATGTCGTATTTTTGCAGCCTTGATGCAACTGTTTTTCGGGCAGCTTTATCGGGTCCGGGCTTGCAAAGTCCTACTGTCTTCCCTCGAACACAACACATCCTCATCATGAATGTATAGAAGCTATCTTTCTGGCGCGATACAGTCAAGATGAGGGTGTGTTGTGTTTGGGGGAAAAAGGTAGGTACTAGGTACTGACATCGGACTGCGCGAAGTCCGAGGTACTGACCTTGTCCGTGGTCTTCAGATAGGTCTTTCACAAAGTCCGATGTTCCTTCTCTTTTTTTTTTTTTTTTTTGGTCTTTGGAATAAGAAAGGATGACCAAAAAAAAAAAGGAAAGGACAACGGCCCCGAGATATCACTGTTGAACTGACCGGCTCCAGGTAATTCAGATTCTTTCAGAATTATAAATTGTTTGATTTCAATCATCTAATAAGTTCATCTAGATTCGAGCTCGGGTCTGTATTTCAAGTCTCCATAACAATTCATGGGTGTACAAAGTACTACCAAGTTCCAACTGAGCTAGGCGCAGTCGTAGTCCGAGGGGGTTTCTGCGTGGTTTTGCTCAGCCACCTCATTTGACGGGGGGAAAAAAAGAAACTCCCGCTCTTGTCGTGTCTCATTTCTAGGACCTCTCGAGTCGCCATTCTTTGGCTATGGTATATGCTGTTAAATTTAAGCTTTGCACACAAGCTAAGGTCTTTACTATAGCATTCAAAGACCTTATAGCAAAGAGACCTAAGGAGGAAGGTAGGTAGTGCAACCTGATGTGGAATAAGCTGGTGAGAGGGCATGTATCTAGTATGCAACAGGCTCTTTCTCTCTTTCTTCTCTTGCAATCGATCGAACGGGATGTGCAGTTAAGCTTGCGAGAGGGCGTGTTTTTCTATTATGCGACAGCCTCGAGAGGCCCCTTTCTTGTCTAAGACTTGCGATCGATTGAACCTGATGTGGAGTTAAGATGGTGAGAAGGGGTGTTTCTATTACGTGATGGGCTTGTTCTTCTCTCGCGATCGATCAAACCTGATGTGCAGTTACGCTGGTGAGAGGGCGCGCGTTTCTATTACGTGACCAGCTCTTTCTCCTCTTGCGATTGATGGAAACCTGACCTGGAGTTAAGCTGGTGAGAGGGCGGGCTTCTATTATGCGACGGGCACTTTCTTCTCTTGTGATCGACCGACTCTCGTGGACGAGCCCGCTGCCCCATTTGGAAATGCAGAGATTCGATCTGGTGCACTTGCTTGTGGTTCTAACGGAGTTTTTTTTTTGTCTGTTGCTTGATAAGAACACTAATATTTGTAGAGAGATTCAATGGACTTGGTCAAGAGTCAAGACATCTCTGAAGAAAACTGCACCCTTCCCAGTAGAGGGCATGCCCCCCTTTCGGAGTCCTATCAAATGCATGGAGACTCAACGAGGCTGGGACTCATCGCTCTCGGAGTCCAATCAAATGCAGACTCAACGAGGCTGGGACTCTGGTGGGATGACACAAGATGCCACATCAATGGCGATGGTGTTACATTGTCCAGTTATTTTGTTATTCTTTTTGAAAGGGGGTTGGTTAGACCCCAATGGTTTCTTTTTTTTTTTTCGAACAGAACCTTGCGGTTCTGGCTCCTTATCCATTCTGGGGGGCGTCAGTCCGGTTCGTATTCCACCGTCAAGTCACAAGAAAGATACATTGAGTACATACTCACACGCTCCTCCCCCTTACGGTGTGAAGGACTGAAGGACGACATTGATTATTTCCCGTGGTTAGAACCCCACTTGTCCTAGAACAGCGCTTAGACCCTAATTATTATTATTATTATTATTATTATTATTATTATTATTATTATTTTTTTCTAAGACTAACATCGTTCGGGGCCAGGGCCTCTGCATTCCGGCAAGAGCCCCGGCAGAAAGTAGTGACCCTAAAAATCCTATTGGATGAATCATCAGGAATTGAATTCATGATCTGTTTTTAACGACAGTCACATCATGACTCACGTATGTGTACCTTTCGTCCACAGTCGCATGTGTATGCTATATTGTCCTGTCATCTTCTCACCCGGCTACCGCTCCCTTTTTATTTGTGGCCTTGTTTGTCATTTATGTGATTTTTTGATTTATTTTTTTTTTAATGTGAATTTAGTAATGTACGGGAGGTATGGCCCGTGAAGTTCTTATATCGCAAAAGTTTGAAACCGTAAACCCTGAAAGTCAGGTGTGAACTCTCATGCGTTCGGTCACGTCCTGGATGAATCTGGGCGAGTGCAGGTGCCAGATTTGTGTCGTTGGTTGGTGATTTCAATGGATGGAAGCATCGAGCGTCCAGAGGAGAGAAGGACCACTACGGCTATTGGCGTGTACTTGTTGAAGACAAGCTTCGGGAGGGGCAGGAGCCGGATGGAATATTCCAGGAGTACGATTACATGAAGGAAATAGGGCCTGGAGACATTCGAGAGCAGCAAGGGGTGAAGCCGGAGCGACGGATCTTCGATAAAGACTGGTCAAAATATGACCGAGTTCTGGGTCGAGACTTTTACGACCTGAGAGGCTGTTTCGACGAATTCGGAGAGATAGGAAAGATCGATTTTCCAATAAAACCCTATCCATGGGGTGCAGAGGATGGAGAGGGTTCTGCTGAAGATAAAGGGGGGGAGAAGGCATTCGACTTTGAGAGCGCTGCGGAGGAGTATTTGCGCGAGACAGGCTATGCCAAGGAGATGGACACGGAAGACGACGACGACGATGAAGATTATGGGGGTTTGTTCGAAAAGGTGAAAGCAGACGCAATGGAGGGTGAGGATGACGACGGTTCAGATGAGCAAGAGATAAACAGAGCTTATGATGAGCTGGATGCGATCGATGACGAGGATCTAGAAGAGGCGGAAGAAGGCGATTTTGCGGAGGACAAAGACGCGGGTTCGGGAAACACGGCACGTGGGTACGACAGTTTCAAAGTTGGAATTGAAAAAACCTCGAAGAGTGGTAGGAGTACGATAGGAGATTGGGCTGCCTCCGGCAGCGATGCGCGGAGTGGTGTGCAGAGTGGGCAGCTCTCCGAAGAGGGAGAAGACGCGGACGAGCTAGAGGACTTCTTTGAGGACGATGCGGGTGATGCGGAAGACGAGGAGTATGACGACGATTTCCCGCCGAAGTCGGTTGCCGCCGCCGACGATTTCTCGCCGGAAAACGCTGCCAGCGCGGAAACTTATGATTCTCAAGCACAAGCCAAGGCCAACGAGAACACATATGGTGAAACGGCGTCGGCAGAGAAAACGGAGTCAAAAATTGAGGATTCCGACGATGACGAGGATGCACCAGACTATGGCCCAGAGATAACTGAAGACGAGCTGAACTGGCTCTTTAGTGACAAGACGGAGAAGCAATATCCTTACTGGGAAGATTGGGTGAAAGGAAGAGCAAGCTGGGAGAAGAAGTACATTCCCGGTATGTTATGTGACTCCACCAAGCAGGCCCACCGTTTTCCCCCGAAAAGAAATCACCCTAATCATGAATGTATGCAAGCTATCTGTCTCCCTCCAATGCAGTCATGATGACGGTAAGTTGTGGATATGGTCCAAATGCGAACCAGATTCATTGCAATATTTGGCACGGTCATCCGATACGGTTTCAATGATGGCACGTTTTGAACGGGGGATGATGGTAGGACTGAATATCGGGACGCAGTCTCTGGTGGTTTGATGAGAATTCTGTGATGATGAACGTGGTCCAACCGTGAACTAGATTCATTTCAGTATGCCACAGTTGTCTTTAAGCCTGCCTTTAGATAAGATAATCTGTATAATTGTCCTTCGGGACATCCAATTAAAATTGGAAAGATACAGAGAAAGAAGATTAGCATGGCCCCTGCGCAAGGATGACACACATAAATCGAGAAATGGTCCGTTAAAAAAAAAAAGAAAAAAGAAGATAATGATGATAATCTGTATTCATCCCTCTTCTCTATTTCTGCCTTGTCGAGCCTGTTAACGTCCATTTCTTGCGCGTAAAAAAAGGCAGTAATTCAAGCCAGGTATTATAATATCCGTTCTTTTAATCATATATTATGATGCCGTGAAAAAAAATAAAAATAAAAAAATAAAAAAAAATCCAAACTAGGTATGTGCTGCTATGGACTAGAGCAGCAGCTCCTCTCAAGGCACATCCCTCTTGTGTGTGACCAGAACCGCAAAACAGGTCCTTTCAGCCTCATGGCTACATCACACTCTTGCCACCAATCTAACTAGGGTTTAGGGTTTAACCTGAACAGCGCTGGGTCCTCTCAAGGTACACCCCACCCCTCTCCTCCTTCCCGATGCATGTACCCAAGAACAGCAACAGGTTCTCTCAGGGTACTTCCCTCTTGCCACCGAGCTCACTAGGGTTTAGACTCTAGAGTTAAACCATATCAGTTATTGGTCCTCTCAGGGAACACCCCCTGTGTTTAGGGTTTTTACTTTTCATGGTTCCGTCACTGATGTGACCTGTGCTTAGGGTTTAACAGTGGAAGAAGTAGGCTTAGGGTTTAGTGTTTAGGGTTTAGGGTGGACGGTCTACCCACCTTTGAGCGGTATAACCGTATAACCAGACAGTCGTGAGGAGCTGCGGATTTAGCTATTGTTCGTCTTCATTTATCGCGTGTGTCCTCAATATTAGGTGCTATCAATTTCATTATGAGTTTTTTACGACTCAGAACCGGCGGAACCTTAGGTGCTATCAATTTCTCTCCCTGGTCCCGAACATGGGACCAGGGATAATTTCTGTCGCTGGTCCCATGTTTGGGACCATGAGTCTGATCAGAGCAGCAACAGGTCCTGTCACGGCTTCATGCCGCTTGCCACCCATGCAACTACTGTCTTCACCCGAATAGAACGCCCAGTAATTATCGCCATATCTGGGATGAAAGTTGTGCCAAGTGCAGCTATAATGACCGGGCGTTCTATTCGGGTGAAGACGGTAGTGTTGAAACTTGAAAGTGTAGGGTCCAGGGTTTAAAGTTTAAACAGAATGGCACTGGGTCCTCTCATCTCAGTATACATCCCTCTTCTCACCTAGAACAAGGACAAATCCTCTCAGGGTGAGTCCCTCTTGGCACTGATGGGACTACCATCTTCACCCGAATAGGACGCCTAGTCATTATATCGCTGCATTTGGCACAACTTTCAGCCCAGATACGGCGATAATGACCGGGCGTTTTATCCGGGTGATGACAGTATGGTCTTTTTACTTTTTACTTTTTACCCTAAACCACAGTAACAAGTTTGCACAACGGACAATGGGACATCCTTTTTTTTGTCGCCTATGTGAATAGGGTTTAGGGTTTAGGGTTTAGGGTTTAACCACTAGAATAGCAAGAGCTCTTCTCAGGGGTTACATCCCTCTCTGATCACCCCTGTGTCTGCCTATCGTCTTCACCCGAATAGAATGCCCGGTTATTATAGCTGTATTTGGTTCAACTTTCAGTCTAGATACAGTGATAATGACCGGGCGTTCTATTTGGGTGAAGGCGGTAGTAAAGCGACAAAGAGTTAGTTAGGCTCCATGATAGCTACAAAGAGTTAGGCTCCATGATAGCTACAAAGAGTTAGGCTGCATGATGGGGTGGTTCACATGCACAAAAATAGCATCAGTTTCCTGTCAAGCTAGTAGCACTGGGTTTCTATGAGGCCCGATTGTTACTACAGTACCGCTGTGTGTGCTATCATGGACCTGGCTAATAATACAACCAGGTTCATGCTTTCTTTGCATGAAAAGGAAAAAAAAAAACACTAGGTTCCTCTCATGCTACTAGAAAAGCCAAAAAAAAACACAGGATGATGTCGAGGCCTATTTTTTGTGGTCCAACACCCCCCCGCCCCCCCCTTATCTCGAGTTGATTTTCTCAATCTGGTATTATTATCTATGAGGTACCGCCACAAATTAGTCCAGCAGTGCTTGCCTTAGAGTCCGACATAACTGCTGCTATTTTTGTGTGAGGAAAGCGTGAACCTGATTGCATTAATGGCCAGGTCCATGCTGGTGTAGCACTTAAAAAAACGTAGTAGCAACTAGGTGCGGCCTTCCTTACCGTTGTAAAACGTGATAGGATCATAGGAGTCATAGGATTACGCCAAACTACCTCCCTCTCCTTTCGCTTCCATTCGTGTTTTGGTACTGCATTTTCCAGCACAGTCACTCAAGCACAGAAGGATAAATGTTGTTGCACTCTTCCATTGGATGGGTGTATGTTAAAGCTAGAGCTGCTCAACGTCCTCTTTCGTTAACGTCTTTTTTTTTTTTTTTTTATACCTTTTGTAATGAGGTGTTTATCGATCCGCTATCCTGCGTTGACCGTTCTTGGCATTACATGCAGTGTTAGTCTTCTCTGTGTAAAATTGTAAATGGCCATTTACACAGAGATGGAAAGATATCCAGAAGCATTCTGTAGTCCTTTTGCCACATTCTAGGAGAAAGAGGTATGGTGTGTTCATGGATTGGTACAGTCACTCTCCATGTCTCTTTGTGTGTGTGTGTTTGTGTGTGTGGACGCGGGCCACTGTGGTAGCCTATATGTATATATATTTTACTTTTTTTTTTTTTTTTTTTTTGGGTGGGATATGGGCCGGGACCCCGCTCGGCCCAGTTGCTTGACCGGGGGTCCCGGGCAGGTCCCGTGCCAGCTTTCCGGACCCGCGCGGCACGGCTGGTAGCCCAGATTTTTACTAATTTTTTTGCTCTTTTTTTTTTTTTTTTCGTTTGAGTGAGCTGCTGTGTGGTGCGTATGTTGGTTTGAGTGGTGTCGACCTATTACACAACCGATGTTCAGACTCCAGAAGCATTACACCCTTGACCTGTTACAACGGGGCCCGGGCTTATTTGGAACCCAGAATCATTCAGTTGGGAGCAATGGGAGGAGGTGTGGTTAAGGAGGGGGCAATGGGAGAAGATGTCGTTGAGGAGGGGGCAGGTAGCTAAGAAGACCTGTGTTCACTAATCTATGTTTGTTTTTGCTGTGCTTTTTTCATTCTTGCAGGGATTCCGCATATGAGCCGAGTACGTGTCTACATACGTGATGACTATAAAGCCATCGAACGGGTCCCTGCTTGGGCTACCTACATTCTCCCAGATCCGGACGACCCTTCGAGATATAGTGCGGTCGTGTATGACCCCCCTCCACAGGTAAAACTGCCAATCCTGATCCCCTTTCAAGAACTGGCAAAGCTGACCGTACCGTCGTCCCTCGAATAGAAGGCAATGGTCATTAAATCTGTAAATTCTGACAAGAAATATGGTACTAATATAATATAATAATGTATCATCAGCTATAGCGAGCATGTCTTCTGTTCCCGGGAAGGGGATAGCAATCATACCATGGACCTGGCTATCTATACAATCAGGTTCATGCTCTCTTCAGACAAAAATAAGTTGCAATAGTCTCCTGCTGTTACATACTTCAACGAGTATGGGCAGAACCAAAGATCAACCAATGTAGGATGAGCATATATGCAGCGGAAGTCTGATAAACGGACTGACTCACATAGACTGACTCATATAGAATCACTCCACACACATACAATCGTGAGATGGTGGGGTCTGGGCCAAGCATGGACGATGCCCAGATCCCGTACACACATACACAGATGAAAGGTGGGAGGAGAGACGAAGGAGGTGGGGGAGGTAGACAGCACCGATAGGTCACCGAGATAGAATCCGATAGGTCACCGATATGGTAGTCCAAAATGTCATCCAACAAGATCAAAATGTCGAGGACAATCAGTCACCAATGTCGGAGATACAGAGTCCAAATGTAACCGGTGTCCGAACTGTGATGCCGCCAAGTATCAACCCCAACAATCTCCAAGTCTCCAATCCGGTAGGTACCACAGTCTCATACCACCGAAGTCCAACACTGATCTCTGTCCAACTAGTATAAGTCTCCAATCTGAAGAAGAAGAAGAAGAAGAAGAAGAAGAAGANCACAGTCTCATACCACCGAAGTCCAACACTGATCTCTGTCCAACTAGTATAAGTCTCCAATCTGAAGAAGAAGAAGAAGAAGAAGAAGAAGAAGATGGGAGCCGAGGAGGAGAGAGAGAGAGAGAGGGGACTGGTGAGGGGAGGGAGGAGAGAGGCCTCCAACTCCCGATACCTCAGGCGGCTATGGCCGCCAGTACAGTCAGTCGCCGCTGCTGCTGCTCGCTCGCTGCTGCTGCGCTAATGCTGCACTGCTGCTCCTCGCTGCTCCTGCGCTAAACTTAGCGCCAGCGCTGTATCGCGCTGTACCATACCGTACCGGTAGAATGCCGGTAGGTCGATAGCCTCAATGAGGCTGGACCGGTACTTTTGTACCAGTGGGGCAGAGGCCGGCCTCAACGCTGCGAGGCCTGGCCGTGCCCTGAACCGGCAAGATGGACGGTTCAGCCCCAACCGGCGGGCGGCAGCCTCAAGAGCGCCGCCAGGCCCAAATGGTAATGTTGTTTGGGCCTGCCCGTCGGGTCTGGTCCAAAGTAAGGCCTTTACGGCCTGTAGTACCCCAAGGTCGGGCCTTTAGGCCCTAATGTGTCCCTCTAACCCTGAGTCGGGTCCGGTAGGACCCGTGTGGCGTCGAAGATGTAACACACTCCCCCTCTTAAAAGACCGAGCTACYTGCGAGGGYGRAGTTGTCTGTCCGATACCGGGRTGGGTCGGGYGGGACGAGCTGCTKCCTTRGCAAGTCGTGYCTTCTCATAGTTGGCGAAGATAAGGGGTGCAGAAGTTTGCAAGTCTGCACTAGAGATCCACCGAGTGTCGTCAGGCGCACATTGCTTGAATGTGACTTTGTACTGCATTGGCTTGTTGCCATACTTGCGATGCGTGATGACTCGGTCAACTTCCTGATGGCCGTCCATAGAAGGCGGATCCTGTGATTGACGTCCGGGAAACTCGTCAGCTGAAGGTGGCGTGTAGATGGCCAGCTGCGATGCGTGGAAGCCCGATGCACTGTCAAGTGCGGTGGAATATTGATCACGAAGGAAGGACCTGCGGGGTCGTCTCCAACGGCAGAAGTGACTTCCCATGGTCCGAACCATTTCGGAAGGAGTTTGCGCGAAACGTCCTGCTCGAGCGCAAATTCCTCGGAGAGGACCCAAACAAGGTCTCCCTCACGAAAAGGTCATGGAAGTCGATGCCGGTTAGCCTGCTGCTGCATGCGGAACTGAGCCTTTTGCATATTTGCGCGGGCTTTGATCAGCAAGTCCCGGTACTTCCGAACGGAAGCGGGAGAGCAAGGGATGTCTATGTCAGCAGCCTGTGGCAAAAGGAGATCAGCGAAGATCCGTGCTTTCTCTCCACCATGATGTAACTCGAATGGTGTGACACAGATCGTCGGGTGCACCGAAGTGTTATAGGCGAACTCGATGTCGGGAAGCCGGTCAACCCAATCTTTCTGGTCGGGACGGATGAGCGTATGCAACATCATCTGAGTGGTCTGGTGCGCTCGCTCCGTCTGGCCATCCGTCTGCAGGTGTCGAGCCGAGCTCGGCTTCATTGTCGTACCGGACTCAGCCATGAGGGAAGTCCAAAAAGCCGACATGAAGCGAGTATCTCGGTTGCTCACTATGTCTTCCGGAACACCCTGGTTGGTAATCCAACCGGTGTGCAAGAGTCGTGGGAGCTCAGGCGCTGCAACATGATACTTGCATGGAAGGAAGCGAGCATACTTGCTCAAACGGTCAACGACCGTGATAATACCATCATGGCCGTGGCGATCGCGGGGAAACCGGCCTGTCACGTCCATAGCAATGGAGAGGCATGGTGCCCGAGGGATCGGCAACGGTTTCAGTTCGCCGAAGGGGACTCGAGATCGACCCTTGTTACGGTGGCAAACTGCACATGACTCAATGTACCTCGTGACGTCATGAAGGACGTCGGGACTGTGAAAACGCTGGCGGAGGCGTGCTAATGTGCGGTTCACTCCAAGGTGTGCCGAAAGTCGTGCGTCGTGGAATTCGCCGAGAAGACGAGTCCGTAAGATGCGATCTTGGGGAACAACTAGCAAGTCCTTTCCTCTCGTGTGAAGGAGAAGGAACCCGTCGGAAATCGGATAGTGGCTAGCAGGCGGGTGATCCGATGAAAGCTTCGCGTAAAGCGTAGAGTAAGTCGGATCAGACTTGTAGCCTTTGATGAAATGCGGCTGCAGATCGTCATCGAGATCGAATGTCGTGGTCACAATGGCACAAAAGTCGTGCCGTCGCGAGAGGGCGTCCGTAGCTCGATTGGCGGGACCGGGAATGTGGCACGGGTCAAAGTCGAACTGGTCGATGTAATACATCCATCGACCGATCGTACTAGGGACCGTATCCTGCGTTTTGTAAAAGGTCAACGGATTGTTGTCCGTATTCCATTTAAAACGCCGACGGCCGAGAAGAAAGTGGCGCCACCGTTTGAGAACGGTGACGAACGCGAGTAGCTCTTTCTTCCTAGCGTCGTCGAGAGTGTTTATGAAAGGCACCTTTTGGGAGAAATACTCGACCGGATGCCAACCGTCCTCGTGACACTGTTCCAACACCGCACCAATCCCGTATCCCGAAGCGTCCGTAG